ACACACACACACACACACACACACACACACACACACACACACACACACACAAAGCTGCAATGTTGCCTTAAGTCACAATCTAAATTGGCTCCCAAGGGCATACTGACTACCTTGTTCACCAAAGGCATTGTGTATGTTTTCTGAGTGCTTAGCATATGCTGTTGTAACCTGAGATCTCTTCCTCTGTCTCTTTTTTTCCTCTCCGTCTCCTGTTTGCACACACAGAAACACAAGTACACAAACACACATCGCTGCTAGGAGTTGCTCCCTTCTCTCCTTTTATGTATTTCCCATCAGAAGGTTAATTAAATTCAAAATAGTTTGCATCTACCTATTAAACCATGCTGCACTGTGCAGCCGCCCACCAGACAAACATCAACAGAGACACAACCACAGGCAGGGTGACTGGGGGTGGGTGGGGCCGGGTAGGTTGGGGGTCTTAGAGAGCAATACAAAAAGTGATGGGAAGCAAACACTACAAGGGATTCTGCTCAGATCACAAGCAATGAGAAATGTCAGGTGTGCTTTTTTAAACCATTATATTGTAACATGGATGTATGAAATGTGGATGCGCCACTTTCTTCTGTCATAGTTAACTCAAGTAAACATGCTGGTGAGATGTCACTTATAGTTCTGAGTAGATTCAAAATGATTCTCAATGAAGTTTTAGCAAAGAAAATTTAAAAAAAATTGCAAATTATTTATAACTAAAGTTGTCATGGTCCAAAATATAAATGTCATCAAAAGATGAGCTTCTGAAGCCCTTTCTGAATTGGATGTACTCACTGAGACAGGTTATTGTTCTACCAGGAAGTAGGGGGGGGACACACACACACCAAAAGCTACTAACACTTGATTGAATTTGCTACAACTCTGATTTGATATAAAGCTCACTGCAGAGTAATGAAAATAGCTAACATTTTAAGACAGTCTAACCTTTCCTGTGTTTACCTTAATAAAGAGTGTGTACCTTAACTGGTAGAGCAATACACACAGGGGGCGAAACAGTGTATAAAGCAGGCAGTGTTTAAGCAGGCAAGCTCTAAAGTAATAGGCAAGAGCAGTGAAGTGTTGATTCTACAAAAGATGTGAGGGAAAAATTGCACCTTAGTGCGTGCGTACACACACACACACACACATACACACACACACCCTCCCCCTCCTCAATATACTCCCACAACACGGCCGGCTGCCTGGCAGCCGAAGTTAACATTTTCAGAGAAAATATTCCTTGCCTCCAATAGTCCGATGTAATTCATTTTCCATCTCTGTTCATTAATCATTGTTAAAATTAGTGATCCATTTCTTCCACTCTGCCATCTGCACTCAGCTTCCTAACAAACATGACACCTCAGCGCATAATAAAAGCTGACAGCTACGAGGAGGCCTTTCCAAATAGCTTTCTGCATATGTGCACCTCCGTGTCTTGATGCCGTTGTCAGACAAAAGTAGGTTGTTTGGACCACCACGGGTTGGAGACGAATGCTTCTGAGTGCTCGAGCATGAGCTCATGTGTGCAAACTCAGTCAGGTACAGTCATACATGTACGATAATCTTTTTATGTGGCATAATTTACGTTAAATTTTTGGATTAAATTGTGTATGAAGACATAACCACACACACACACACACACACACACAAATGTTCTCCTTTAAATTTCAAAAACAAAATTACAGAGAGGTCTATAATCTTCAGTGGTGTTTGGTAAGATGAACCTAAGGTCATCCTGCCCCTCACATTTGTCAGGAAATTGGTAAAAGTGGTGGGGGGGGTGCAGGAACACCAGGAAATTCCAAAGCATGACAAATCACCACAATCAAATAAGCAAAAGAAACAGTGGGAAAAAAGGAAAAAAGGGCCCAAACATACTTAATGTCCTGTTTTACCCCTGAAAAAGTTTGAGCCACAACCTCAGCTGGAGCAGCATTGTACTTTTCCGTTTGCTTTCACCAGCCATGACATCTGCATGCTTGTTGTGATACTGTGTATCAGTTCAGCTACACCCTGATCACACTGGGCTAGAAGATAAATCAGATGGTAACAATGTGGAAAAGAATGAAGAGGAAAGTAGAAAGTTAAAGGACTTCCCTGCCTGGTTACTCACTCATAAAGCATCCCTCTAATTCACACAAAAATAAGTTGTTGGAACGCTGTCCCCATGATCCCCTTTTTACTGTGTTCTGGCTCGAATCCAACATAGATTTAGATTTAGGTGACTTAAACGTAGCAGGTTTAAAGGAATTCTGAACACCTGGAAATTATATAGTCACCCTTTTTGCAGTCCATTTATTGTACGCTTGCTCACAGATAAATGAAGTAAGAAGACACTCAAARGTTCTCAGGCTGAGTTGTGTTTCCTGGTTTAAGTAAAAAGGTAAGGCCACAGTCGAGCTACAAGTTTTATCCTTTCTCTGCTCTCCTTAATAATGAATGTAACCCAGACGTGAGATTCCCCGCAGGATTTGCTGCATCACTGAACGGCTTTTCTACCTTAAACAAAAAAATCACTCAAAAATCCAGAGTGTGAACGTGAATCCCACTGAAGCCTCTCTCTCAGCGCTCGCTCAGAAAAAACCTTCCGCGAAATGTGTGAACACCCTCCCTGAACTGTCCCTTCTCACATCCACGCACACACATATGTGCGCAATCTCAAGTATGCACACTTGTACACACACTTAAACCTCAACAATCCAGTGCTGCTTTACTCCTGATTCTTTTCTGTAAGCACACACTCAAACACACACACACACACGCACGGAGTCAGGATCCCTTGCTGGCGAGGTGTGTGTGTGTCTCTGCCCGAGGCACAGCACATTAATCTATATAATGCCCTCAAAGAGAAGGCTTTTTCACACCACTAACTGCCAATGACTACGAGGGGCAGCGGCTAAGCCATGATTC